TCTTCTCAAATTAAGTCGGAATGCGTAATTAGATTTTTTTAAATTTAACCCTTTAACTACCCCCGTACGGGTTTGCAAGTAAGTTTGGAAGCGAAAGTGTGGAAACCATACAAATTCCTTTTAATACACAAAATATAGAGGTGTATTCTTCTCAAATTAAGTCGGAATGCGTAATTTGATTTTTTTAAATTTAACACTTTAACTACCCCCGTACGGGTTTGCAAGTAAGTTTGAAAGCGAAAGTGTGGAAGCCATACAAATTCCTTCTAATACACAAAATTTAGAGTTGTATTTTTCTTAAATTAAGTCGGAATGCGTAATTAGATTTTTTTAAATTTAACCCTTTAACTACCCCCGTACGGGTTTGCAAGTAAGTTTGAAAGCGAAAGTGTGGAAACCATACAAATTACTTTTAATACACAAAATTTAGAGGTGTATTCTTCTCAAATTAAGTCGGAATGCGTAATTAGATTTTTTTAAATTTAACCCTTTAACTACCCCCGTACGGGTTTGCAAGTAAGTTTGAAAGCGAAAGTGTGGAAACCATACAAATTCCTTTTAATACACAAAATTTAGAGGTGTATTCTTCTCAAATTAAGTCGGAATGCGTAATTAGATTTTTTTAAATTTAACCCTTTAACTACCCCCGTACGGGTTTGCAAGTAAGTTTGAAAGCGAAAATGTGGAAACCATACAAATTCCTTTTAATACACAAAATTTAGAGGTGTATTTTTCTCAAATTAAGTCGGAATGCGTTATTAGATTTTTTTAAATTTAACCTTTTAACTACCCCCGTACGGGTTTGCAAGTGAGTTTGAAACCGAAAGTATGAAAAGGATAAATAGTCCTTTTAATACACAAAATTTAGAGGTGTATTCTTCGCAAATTAAGTCGGAACAGGTAATTAGATTTTTTTAAATTTAACCCTTTAACTACCCTCGTACGGGTTTGCAAGTAAGTTTGAAAGCCAAAGTATGAAAAGCATACAAATTGCTTTTAGTACACGAAATTTAGAGGTGTATTCTTCTCCAATTAAGTCGGAATATAAAATGAGATTTTTTTTAAATTTAACCTTTATAACTACCCCCGTACGTTTTTGCAAGTATAATTTTACAGTGGGGGTACGGAAAACTATCGGCGGTACGTACACAACATTTTGATGTGTGCACTTTTCAGATAAAGTATGAATACAAAATATATTTTTTTTAATTTACCCCCATTACTACCCTCGCAAGGATTTGCAAGAAAATTTGAATACGGGGGTTTCGAAAGGGTATAATTTCCCTTTAGTATATTAAATTTAAAGGTGTTTACTGAAAAAATAAAAATAATTATCTGATTGCTTCTAATATTATGTTAATGTTTTACCTTTGCAAATGTTTCTCATTAATTTTAAGAACTGTTACAAATATTATTGGGCTACCATTCAAACTAAACCCTTTTTGCTTTTTGATTTGGTTTAGTTTGGTTTATTTTTTTTATATTCTAAGGGTTAATAGATTGACAAAATGCCCTTAGTATATGTAATATTCCGCATGTGCGAAAACTCTACCTCAGATACGATTTCGCATTCGGGAACTCTCGGCTCTTTGGCCGCCAACTTGTGGCTGCTAAGTTGGGAGAACCACATCTGTCCTAATGAGCATCTGTCCTACCAGTTGTTCGGGTAGAGTCGTCCACCCGAACGCGTCCCGAACGTTAAAAACAGCGTTGTCAGGTTGTCGCATTTTCAAGAAGCAATTAACAAAATTTTCTGTATCGGAAAAAGAGTGTAAGGTATTTATATTATGTAAATATAAAATAAAAATAGACTAGAGACTTAATTAAGACTTTATTGACATATTTAATAAATAATTACAAGGTTTTATCTAAATTATTTTTCTTGTGTGTTTGGTTGCCTATACCTAATTCTAAAATAGTTTATATTATGCATTGTTTTGTTTTTTTATTCTCACAAATAAGAAATAAATGTTTTATAGTTTATATTATAAAAAATCAATGATTATACATTTTATTTACACCCCTTACACTGTTTTGTGTACTACCAAGAGTATATTTCGTGACCTCTTATGATAAATGGGCACAAATAGTTTTATTACTTAATGCTTAGATTAAAATATTTAATCTATGATTAAAATTTAATAATATATTTGTACATTAAATATAATAGACTAGAGGCCCAATTAAGAGTTTACTGACATAATTACTAAAGTTCATCTAAAGTTACAAGATTTTTTTATATGTATTTTTGGTTGCCTATGACAGGCGAGGGCAGGCGTTTATTTAACTCACAAATAAATGTTTTATGGTTTTTATTATAAAACAAGGATTAATTTATTATACACCCCTTACACCTTCACAAAGATTCCAAGGGGAATATGTCGTGACCTCTTATATTAAAATGGACAAGGTTTATTAGTCAATGTTTTAGTTACCCATCAGCGTCTTTAATAAAAATCTAATGTATTCTATCTAGTGTATTTTTCATAGAAATGATCTGACATCATAAAAAGCAAATTTTATCAAAAAACTTTTTGATTATCTATATTGTTTAACTTGTAGTTTAACCTAACTTGCACATAATTTTTTAATTTAAAAGCAATAATTTTTTTTCTTGACAATATGGTGAACTTTAATATAACTAAACTCACTTTATAACTTAATTTTTGTAATATTCGTTTTTTAGCAATTAGAGTAAAAATTAATTAGGATACAATTTCTAATTTGAAAGATATATGAAATTTCATCAGTTTTTCCAATTAAATAAATATACAGGTTTTCTAAAAATATCTAATTTACTTATTATTTTGACATATCTACTAACTTTAATTTTTTTTGTTTTTAGGTATTTATGTTCTTTTTTAAAAATAAATTAAGAATGATTCAGAACCACGGATGTGTGTTCAGAACTGACTCCTTTCGGCCCAATTTAATTAGATATGTTATAAAACTTACAAATAAATGATTTTTTTTTCAAACGCAACAAAAGTATTAATTTTGGCGACGTGATTGATAAAATAAAAGTAATTTTAATGCCTAGGCATAAAAATAAAGCACTTTTACGCATAAGCACAAAAGTACGAAAATATATTATTAAACTGATATAAAGTGTCAAATTCAACGAGTGTAACCATAGTTTCTCGATATAAGTACCGTATGATCGAATAAAAACGGCGTCAGCGATGGCTATGAAATGAAGATCGCTGTCATTTTATATGTAAATTTATATGGGAAATGTCATCGATTGTCATTTCATAGCCATCGCTGACGCCGTTTTTATTCGATCATACGGTATAATTAGTTACAAAATATTACTTTTAAATCTTGTTATATTATTTGCAAAGTTTGAAACTGTTTAAAAAAATATTTGTGACGTTTGAAAAAAATAGCATGTCCTATTCGGAGTAAAAATGACGGTTTGTGCCTATGGCCTGTAATGAAATAAATTATTTTATAATATGAAAAATTGTTTACCTTTTTATTTTTTATAGATTATTGTCAAAAAAGTGATTGGGTGCAGTATTAGTAATAAGAATAATACACAATGGTCACAGTGGTCGGCTATGAAATAATGATTGCTGTCATTTTATATTTAAAATTATATGGGGAATGTCATCGATAATCATTAACAAGCTAACTGGACGCCGTTTTTTTTCGATCATACAGTACTATACAATTGAAAAAAAATTGCTGCTCTTCCAGCTGTTTTTTTTTTGATTTTACAGTATTTATATATATTTATATGTAATTTGTTTTAATCAACTTTACATATTACGGTTTTTATGAATTCCTTTGCTCACATATTTTGTTCTTATTATTTTACCGGTTTTGTCTCAAGGCACTCAGGCAAGAAATACCTAATTATTAATGTTAAATTATTATTAACTACTTTTAGGGGTCGTTACAGGTAGTCTTTGCTATACACAGAATAACTAATTAACTAGTTACTTTACTACGAATAAGCTCTCCATAGTCTTTACTTTCACTCTCATTAACATAATTGGAATAAAGTGAAAAAGAAATTTCTGTAAATTTCAGAATTTTCCCTTTTTATTATTTTCTTGACAATTTGGAGATCTTTTTTTATAAAGTACTTTTTTATAACTTTATACCGTAATTTTGTAATTTTAATAAATAAAATGTTTTTTAGCAATACAGAGTATTGCAACCACAGCTGCAACTTTAAGATAGATATTTTTTTCTGGTTATATTTGAAAAATTAATTCAGATCGATACATTTTTTTAGTTTGAAAAATATTTGAAATTCTATCAGCTTTTGCAATTTAAAATACAGGTTTTCTAAAAATACCTTAACTTATTATTTTGACATACTAACTTAAATCATTTTTGCTTTTAGGTATACTCGTTCTTTTTTAAAAATAAATTCATATTGATTCTCAGACTGATTAAAAATATTTTAATCTAGAAAGATAATAATACAAATAAATATACTTAAAAAAATATTTATTACATAGAATAGGTATACTAGAGTTGGCATTTCAGGCCTTGGGTGCCGATTTTTGTGTGTATGAAGAGTACGGTCAACACGCTTAGTAAAATAAGATGTGTACTATTTGTATTTGGCAGAATAAGTTGTGGATTTTGTTTCTGAAAACAATAAATTTATTATATTACGACTTTGCTGCACACATGTATGGATAATTTATTTACCTTTATGCTTTAATGTTCAGACTTTACTGTAGTTTACGCTGCATCATTCTAAATTGTTCCCGAAGGGTATCCTGAAGACTTTATACATTTGTCCTACGTCAGATATTTTTCTGTAATCTTATATCATTGTCCTGACAAGATCTTCTAAATAAAGTATTCGAAAATACCCATGTTCTGTCTAAGCAGGTTTTTTTATCCTAGAGCTTAATATTCAATAAATCTACAAAATAAATGAGTTAACGAGGTTATAAATAGAAAACAAAAATAAATGCCTTTATAGGATCAGTCCTCTTAAATGTGCTATGTGATACACGATTGATACGATTTTCATGTATATGAAGAGTATGGCCAATATGCTTATTACAATCAGATGTATTGAACTTGGTATTGAATGCATAGGAAATCATCAGATTAAGTGTGGTTATGTAATAAATATTTTATATTTTTCTATCTCCGACCAGATCACCATAGCGATTCACACCTACACGCGTAAACACCAACCTAAGGCTTGCCGATATGTCCTTGTGCTAGAAGTATAATATAAAGGTCTGTGGTCTAGGAAGGCTGACACTTATGTCTCATATAATCGAAAAAACGGCGTCCAGTTGGCTTGGAAATGACGATCCTTGACATTCCCTATATAATTTTACATATAAAAGACACCGATCTTCATTTCATAGCCATCACTGACGCCGTTTTTTTTTCGATCATATTGTACCTACCACATGGTACATACCTACCTATCTCATATATCATATGCCTTATGGTTTTAAAGATGATAAATTGTCTTTTGTATTATGCGTATAGCTGTAATTCAAAAGAAATACATTTCGTAAAATACCACAATGTTATAGTGAATAGATTCATAATAAAATACTTACTAGTTTGCTTTTCCAGTTTAACGGTACTTATTTATCAGTTTTTAATCAGTTTTCCTTTGAGTTTCAGATTTCTTAACCTTAAAATTTTCACTCTTTTAAACCATCTCATTTTTGCTCATATTTTTATAATTACTTATTATGCCTAATACATGCCCGTGCTGTTTCCTGAAGAATGAATTTTTGTAAGCTACGATCTTGCAATTAAAACAATATCACATACCTGGAACCTGAAAGGACATCATGTGGGAAAAATAATTAAGAACATTTTTTCCGCAAATCACGGCTAATTTATTTTCAGGAATTTGTGGATAGCTTAATATTTTCTAAAAATTGTTAATCGTTTTACAGCTTTTGTTTGAATACATATTATCTAGATACACACCTGAGATTTCAACCCATGTAGACGTATTCTTATATAAAAAACACATTATCAAAGGTAATCGTGTTGCTATCACTTTCATTTTGTTTATGCTTTATTTGTAAATATTTCCGGATTATTTTATATCAGGTTCTATTACATTATTCATAACATTATTCGTCAATGTTCATAAAAATTATAATTTTAAACTTTTTCTGAGGTTAATCTTGTCAAATTCCAAAACAAAACAAGATTGAAAAGTATGCGACGTTGACAGATTTAGTACGTTAGCCAGGACAAAATTCCTGAAACAGGAATTTTTAGGACTACCGAACATGCCCGAAGTGACGTTCGTTTGGTAGGACAAATACCCCGTAGGACGAATACCGCCACCTCGCTAAGTTCACACCGGTCTAAAATATTACGGTAAGGTGGTGTAACTGGGACCCTAGTTTATAACTTATATCTTTGTAGTAAAAATTTCAAACATTTACTACAAATAGAAACTACAGGTCGAGGAGGAAAATACCTGGTATCCTCCGATATACAGAGTCCGGCAATAGTACGTCGGGAATCTTAGAATAAAAAAATTGTAAAATTTGTTTAAGTGTAAATCTAAAGTATGTACCATTTCAGGAAAATATTTTAACCTCTACAAGGTGGCTCAAAAAAATGTGAGTTGAAAGGGATGATTTTTTTTAAACGGAACACCCTGTATATTATTGCATTTTTGGCTTCCTCTCAGATCACTTTACATAATCTTAAAATATTTTTAAATATGTTTTGATAGTTTCAGAGATAATAATAAATAAATGAAAAAAATATATTTTTTCAGGCTTTATTTAAAAAATTATTAAAAATATAAAAACTGTCTTGAAATCAAAACTATATTAGGCATTTACTTTAGATGGTATGTACTTACTTTGCTATAAATATCGTAATCTTATATCATACGGGTGTTCAAAATTATTCCCCAAACTTTCTAAAATATAAAATAATTTTTCTTTGATTTTTTATTTTTACGCAAAGAATCTCCCCACGAGAGATGGCACATGTTTATTGAAAAACCCTGTATATTATATAGTGCTGAATTCTGCTCATGCTGAATTCTGCTATACAGGGTGTCATTGAAATGGTGTAAAAAAATCAGGGGGTGATAGTACTCCTAAAAATAATAAAAAAAGTTCCTATAAGTATAGGGCGGAAAATGTATATTAAGGGAGTTAGGGGCACTGAAGGGCTGAATTTAAAAAACGGTTGTTTTGAAATTGGATAAAAAATTTTGTTTTGAAATTGGACTTAAAAAACGAGATAAAATTTCAAAAAAAAATCCTCTGCCACAAATTTTGACCCTAAATCAAATGGTGATAATGAAAAATTATTTGGAAAAGCGGAAAGGGTAGTTTTTGCAAGGGTAGGGGGTTGTTTCGTGAATAACTTTTTCTGAGGTTATTTTTTTTGCAACGTGGGTTCATTTTTTGAAAACTACATAGTTTTTCCTATAAAAAAGTACTCTTGTTGCACATCGCCCAGAGTGATGGTTTTCGAGAAAATCGAAGGCATAGAGTTTGCTCTGATGTTTGCTTTTTACACCATTTCAATGACACCCTGTATATTCAGTGAAAGTCGGAAATTCAGTGATTGTTAACATTCACTAGGGAATGCCAACAATTAGGCATTGGACCAGTGAATGTCGTATTTTAAACAAATTTGTCGACTTTTACCAGTAATTTCGAGTATATTTTGAAAGTACCTATCATTTACTAAAGGTTGCCAGTAAAAGTTATTCTATTGAACAGGGTGGGTGCATAGGTGAGTGTGATGAGGAGGAGCACTGGTGGAAGTTAGAACAAATAAAACTTTTAAGAATGTTGGATCACCTCAATATTCAAGCTGATCCATATATCTTAAAAGTACTTACTATTTAGTAATTCTTTAGTACATTTATTAAAAATTGTAGAAAATAACGACCATATTATAACTTTCTAAATATTAAAAAAACATAATAAACATGTTCAAGTGTACAGAACAATTGAAAAAACATTCATAAACAATAATAAACATAAGATTACTTATTGATACAAAGTTTTTTTCATAAAGTTCTTCATCGTGGACAAAATAAAATATGTCAGAATTTTCTTCAACGGGAGCTATTAGTCAAACCCGCCACTTCAAGCACATCTTAACGTTTAATAAGTTTAAAGTCGCTAGGTTCCTTAATAACTTTTTCTCCGTCATGTTATATAATATATAGAAAAAAATTAAGTAATAAATGGTAAACTCTAGTACCTATTTACTTAAAAGTTTTGCGCAGAAAATATAACTTTATACTCTAGAGATTAGAAGTCGTAAAACATTTAAAAGAAATAAATTTTTCGAAGGAGGTCCAAATTGTCATTAAAAGACATTATATGTATTTTATATAAAGGGTGGCGCACCTCATTCGCCTCGGTTGATTATACGAAAACGGAAAGATGTGGAAACAAAATACTTTATGGGCATATGTGGGGAGGCAATGTGCACAATTTAAAATTATTTTGAAATATACAGGGTGTTTCAGAACTAATATCCATACCAAAGTTATATTTTTTCTTATGAAACACACACACACCCGGTATTTTATTTCATTTTTGGATTCTTGGGCTCAAAAAAAGGTATTTATTATAAGGGTTAAATATGTTTAAAATCGTTGATTTTTGAGATATTTAAAGATCTTTAAATATGCATGCTACAATTTTGGTACGTCTGATATTGGAGATGGAGAACTACCCTCTATAAAACCGTCCCAGATACTGGCTTTTGTCAAAGCCCTGGGACTGTATGATGAGTTATGATTCAAGAAAGGGGGACACAATGGATCTGTAAGGTCGAAGTGATTAACCCCCCTCCCACTCATTCTAAATTCTAATTCTAAAATGCATGCTACAATAGAACAGATTATCAACACCCTATACATCAGTTTCAGAATTAATTCTTGTGCTGAGTTTAAAGGTGAAGAAATAAACTTTACTGAAACTTTTTATTGCTTCTTTAAATTTGTACAGGAGTGCCAAAAACTGTTGATCTATTTTAAGTATTTATTTTACATAAAATCTTTGTTATTTCAAATGCAACACCCTATATTTTTTAAAATAAATCGGAGCAGATTTAAATACTCTTTCAAACTATATTAGGGTTTCCTATACCATCCAGCTCAGATTTTGAATAAAAAGCGATTTTTCAGTAACTATTTTCAAAACCGGCATTAATAAAGTTATAATAAATGAAAATCAACTTCCAGTTGGGATTAATTAACTTTATTCACTTTAACAAAAAATAGCAAGGCGAAAAACAATAAGAGTTACAAAAAGCTGTGTACGTTACGACGCGCGACGGTCAAGATGAATCTACCTACATTAGGGTAGAATGGACCTCGCAGGGTCGCTCTTAAGGAAAATAGATACTTAAAGCTGTCATTATAGTTTCATATATTATATAGTCCAGGCCTAACGGACCGTATTCCGTGAACCACTTATCGATGCGTCTATACTCGACACTATATCAGATGGGGACACAAACTGTCACATACATAACAATAATAATGTTTATAAAGGACATTATTATTTAGAAGATTTATAAGAGTTTACTTAAATTTACCCACAATAGTTTAATAAGTAAGTATTCATTATTTCATCAATAAAAATAAAGCAGTATTTGCGGAACGAATGGATATGTTACTAATGATCTTATTTTGTGAGGAAAATTGCTTCTTCGCCCCAAGGGCTTATGCTAATAGATATCCAAATAGGAATGTTCCTGATAAGCGTTCTTTTGAAAAACTTCTTGTCCTATTTTGCAAAGCTGGTAGTGTGGTTTATAGAAAACCTGTCGTTGGAAGTGAAGAAAATGATTTCGTAAAACAAGAACCACTTCTTTCTTTTTTTGATAGAATATAATAAGTGGATATTTAATAAATATTATTTATTAAACTATTGTAGGTAAATTAAATAAAAGTAAATTGATATATATTTAAAAAAAGAAGTCCATAAACTAATTTCGATTTTAAAAATAGCTACTAACTGTCACTAGAAACTTGACACGACATCAGCCCTCTTGGTTGCAATTTTATTGAAAAATTGCTCTTTATTCAAAATCTGAGCTAGATAGGTATAAGAAACCTTAATATAGTTTGAAAGAGCATTTGAATCTGCTTCGATTTATTTTAAAAAATACAGGGTGTTGCATTTGAAATAACGAAGTTTTTATTTAAAATAAATATCTAAAATAGACTAGCAATTTTTGATACTCCTATATATACATTAAACGAAGCAATCAAATTTTTCAGTCAAGTTTATCTCTCTGACTTAAAAGTCAGCACAATAATTAATTCTGAAAAGCAATGTACACGGTGTTGACAATTTTTTATTATAGCATGTATATTTAAATATCTTTAAATATCTCAATAATCAAAGCTTTTAGACATGTTAAACACATATAATAAATGCCTTATTTTGTGCCTAACCGGACCAAACCAAAATAAGGATCCAAATATGAAATAAAATACCGGGTGTTCCGTAAGAAAAAATATAACTTACCTAGGTGTGGATATTAGTTCTGACAAACCCTGTACATTTCAAAATAATTTTAAATTATGCACAGTGCCTTGCTACATATACCCATAAAATATTTTGTTTCTACATCTTTCCGTTTTCGTAAAATCAACCGAGGCGAATGAGGTGCGTCACCCTGTATATTTAATTTTGTAAATATTAATTAGAATATTATTTTTTTAGGTTTACTGCAGTTGAGAATTAAAATTTAAGGGATTATTGAAAACTAAAATTTGGTAAGTAAAATAAAAATAATAATTATTATAATTTAACATTTTTTTTGTTTGGCAGCATCAGTAATAGCCATCAAATAATATATTTACAGTGTTAGTAAATAATTTTCAATGTTTTTTTAGAAAAAGATGAATAATATAGATAATCCGGAAAACGGGGGCAAAATTTTATATGTACGGGTGGAGAGGATGGATCAGGTAAGTGTCAAATGATTATTATTTTACCTAATATTAATGTAAATATTAATAATACTTAATAAAAAAAAAAGATTGTGAGTTTTTTGACCCTAATATTTTTAGCTAATATTAATGTAAATATTAATAATACTTAATAAAAAAAAAGATTGTGAATTTTTTGTCCCCTACCCCTCGTCAGAGGTTTTACTTTATTAATAATATTATTTATATTTATTATATAACAAACTAGTGCTGCATAAAAATTACTATTAAAGTTTTGTAATTAATATTTTTAATATTAATAACAATAATAACTATACATTAATTTCTTGATATTTTTTTGTAATTTTTTTTAA